CTAAATAGTAGGATCCTTATTATAAGAACCCCAAGATGAGGTACCCCTAAGTTTCGGAAACTCCCTTATTTTCGGTCATGACGGGGTTTTGGGCATGAGGGGTTTAGGGAGCAAGGGTTCAAGTTGGAAAGAAAAGTGGGTTGCAATATTAAGTCATGGAGTGTTTAAGGGTTAAGTCAAGAAAAGAGGGTTCTATGAGTACCGTCGGGGTCTAAGAAAAGAGGGTTGCAACAGTGGCGAGTAGTGGTGGCGTTAGCAGCAGTAGCAGTAGTGGGGTTCGTCGGGACTTGTGGGCTCAGCTGCTGTCTGCCAGCCATCATGGTCGTGGGAGTTAGGATGTGTGATAAAGGATGAGAATTTCGGGGTTGAGCACCATGTATTGTTTAGGGTTTGTTGCTCGTTGGAAGGAGGAATATACCTTAAAATTACCATAGGATCCCTCATATAATTTAAAGTATATCCCTTAATCAAGGAATATACCTTAAATTACAGTAGGACCCCTAATATATGTTAAGGTTTCTTCCTTAATGAAGGGATATTGGAGCCTCTGGGAACAGGCCACGAACTCTTTGCCGTAGTAGTAGAGCAGTTAGCCTTTAATCTGTTGTGTGGATCTATAATCCCAAACGTAGCCTTTCGTTCCCCCAAGATACTAGACGCGTATGTTGCGGCCCAGGTCAAATCTATGCGTTTTCCAATGTACACGATTTCTTCAGACCTGCTGTTGCAGATGACAAAGATCGAGCCTCATGAGGTGCTGAAGGCCATCTTTGCAGCGTTTAGGGAGCTATGATTTAGGCTTGCAGGCTCAGTATTTGTGGTGGACTGCTTTGTGGTCACACGATGCAGCAACCGTCGTCATCCCGCGAATGGTTGTCGTCGTCACAACCATCATCATCATCATGATCATGCACATCGTCGCCACCATCATGAGCACCAGAACTGCCACTAACATCCTCAACAACATCAGCACGGCCACCGTCATCACTGTTGACCATCCACGAAAGTGAAACAGTAGACGTACTTTTCATGCAGTCTTCCTGCCTTGTCCAGAGTCTCGGGATGCATGCATCAAGCATTTTACGTACATGCGGCGCACGTTTCGTCCACAGGGGCATGGAAACGGAGAAGCAGCTGCGGGCCCCTTAGTAGCACACGTACAAATCCTAAATCCATGCGTTCATGCAATACTTCGTTTAAGTACAGCTATGGAGAGGCCAACTGACTTGAGAGAGAGCGAGAGAGACAGAGAGATCGAGAGACAGAGAGATAGAGAGACAGAGACGCACAGAGACAGAGACAGCGAGATGGAAAGTTAAAGAGATCGAGCGAGCAAGCCAAACCTTGCAGCTTTTCAACTTACCTTTGGTTAGGAGGGAATGGAAGAATGGTAGTAATAGTAGTTATAATTGTACCCCATTCCTCCATTCCCTACTAACCAAAGGTAAGTCAAGGCCTGTACAGGTCGAATGAAGGTCAACACCTGCCAAGAATGCAACTAGGATCTCCAGTAGTACCCTTATTCCCTTCTTGTAGTCCTAGGTTCCTTATAAAGTTACCCAATACCAAAAAGAGAGGCCTTTTTATTCTTAGGTTACTGGGCATCCTAGGCAAAGGTGCACCACCTTTCTCCACGCAAACGGGTGGTTCAGTCAATTCGGTACTCTCTAGTAGGGGGACCTTACGATACGAATCAGGTTCTTAGAGTGGGCAGACTTTGCATTTTTGGTGGTATTATGACCCCTTATAGAACTGAAAGGATACACGTTTTTGGGCCAATGAACTCAGCAACCAAGTATTTCTCGGGAACTCTAGTGCCCTCCCGGATCCGCTCGAAACTCGTTCAAGGTTTAAGGTTGACCACGCAGTCGTAAGCCTTCGACCCGAAAGCTTACTATCGGGACCTAAATAATTACAAATACCACGCCGGGGCTCCGAAAACTGTAATTCAAGTATAATTCGCCGCCAGACCCTATTCGAGTTATTAAGGCACCTGAAATACCTTTATTGTATGCCCTCTCCGTCTGGCCAATTGCCTACCTTGCAGGAGAAGGGAGACATCGTTGTTTTAGATGCCAGCATGGGCAAGGCGGTTTTCGTTTCCCACCAGTGGGTTGCCTTGCGTCTGGGACTCTTTACTCTTTACAGCAGCCAACCAGGTAACCTTCACCCTATCAAACCCTATAAAGCCCGTATAAAACCCCATAAAGCCCCATAAGCCCGTCTAAAACCCCATAAGACCTATCGAAATTCTGGAAAACAAGCCGAGAAAACGGCTGCCGCCTCGGAACCCAGGCATCACCCAGACCCCCAGTTCAAGCAGATGCGGGTCTTACAAGGTGGGGCGACCGCTACTGTACTTAAAGGATCATGGGACTTAGTAAGTAGGTTATAAGATATACTTGGGGTTATAAGTCCCCTAAGTGGGGTTATCCTAATTATAACCTACTTATAACCTTACTTACTAAGTCCCAGGAGCCTTCAAGTAGGGGTCTTAATCATTAGAATAGGGTTTTGGTGGTTCCTTAGTATAGGTATAGTATGATATACCCAAAAACCCAATTCTAATCATTGAGGCTCTACTGTTACAGGGCTTCGGGTCTTCGGGGTTTAAGGGTTTGGGGGCGTTTTCGGCTTAGGGTCCTTAGGGTTTACCTTCCCCATAGAACCTACCATGTTAAGCACTACCCAAAAAGGGACCACAATTTTAACAACTACCCATATAAAGAAATCATGATAGGGAACCCTAACAAGGTAGGTCCTTGGGGTCCAGGGTTCGAGGGTTTAGGGTCGTACAGGGTGGCTGTGGGGCGCTACAGGGATGTATGCCCCTCCACTTCTAGGGGTAGAGCGACTGAACTAGGTTTGATGGAGACTTATGTCGGTGTGCTTGTAAGATTACAACAGGGGGGGGGTTATTCGAATTGCAATGAATGATGATGCGGGGACGAGGAGGGAATACTAGTATTAGTTATTCAGGCCTGGATAGAAGGCCTTGTCGTCAAGATGTTGCAGCGTTGAGAGGCTTTGGGTTTTGGGGTTTTAGGGTTTTAGGGCTAGGGCTTGCGGCTCAAGGTCAAGGATGGAGGGCCGTAGCCCGGAGACTCCAAACCACCTTAACTGAGAAATGCACCTTAAACATCAAAGGATCTTGATTTGTTTTGTACGGGGGTAGTACGATGGCAACACATGTATGGAAGGTTTGGGGTACTTGCGGGTTAAGGGTTGAAGGCCTGCGTGCACGGGGTTTTGGATTTCTTAGACAAGATAACTTCCAAGCCTCAAAGAAAGCCTAGAGAACCCTATACAACTTCTGCAGAACCCTCGTAGAATCGTGAAAGACCTTCATATCTAGTGACTGCTAGTGTAGAAGTGTGCTGATCCCATTGCTGGCGATTGTCATGTGCTACTACTTTTCGTTTGTTCTATTGTAGTTACTGCACAGGATTATAAATCTTCAAGCGTTACAGCCTAGACGCCGAAGTCCTGAACGGCCTCACTACATCACCAAGCCCCCACCTGCGGAAGCCCTCAGCAAAGCAGGTGGACTTGATGAACAGCGGGCCAACTGCGGGCGCCGAGGTGGTCCAACTCTACCTGGGGCTTCCCGGCATTGCCGACAAAAGGTTTTAGAGCCCCCTAAAAACCCGTAGACCTCTAGTTCATTTTCTGCTCAAAGAGCTCCACTACCCGCCCGCCTATCACGAGGCATCGTTTCGCGAGGTTTCAATTGATGTTGCCGGCGCCAGGATGTCGTTTTGGTTTGCTTCTTCTTTTCTGTTTGTTACGGTTGTTGCAATTGGCATGTCACTGCGACGTGTGAAGCCTTCGTCGCTCGTTATGTTGATCAGCACACGCCTCCGTTGCTTGTTTTCCCGTGTGTTCAACCCCTGTCTATCACGTGCTGTTGCCTTCGTCCCCTGATCCTTAAAGTCGCCAGAGGTATCGTACCCGTTAGTGGACGGCCCGTGGACCTCAACGGATCCCGCGGCCGAAATCGTCATCCTGGCGTCTGCGTCGATCACCCTGCCAAGGACGGCACCCATGTAGTGACAGAAGTGGCACGTCTATTTCTCTGGCCCCGAGCAACCCTTCTCTGTGGCAGAAGAGGCTTGCTAACCTAACAACACTTCTCAGACGCCTCACTGGCGCACAAGAAGCAAGATGCAGTCGCAGCCGCCATCTGCCTCAGCTGGAATTTCTAGCTTCTGGTTCCCAGCGTTGTTGCAGCAACGCTTGGTTCACTGCGGCCATCTGTTTCAGAACGTTGTGCTCTGGCTGGGGGGAGCATTTTATAAACATGAATACGAATATGAGGCCGTGCTCTGGCCGGAAGGAGCTGTTTCAAAAAATATATACACATACAAGCGTGTGCACACACACATATATATATATATGTATATATATATATATATATATATATATATGGATCTATGCATGTGTGTGTTTTGTGTAAGGATGTACACCGGTCCTTTCGTCAAAGGTTTTTACCAGTATTCAAGTTTCCTTCCGTATGTACAGTCTTGTCCCAAAAATGTATAGGTTTTGCAGCAGATAGAAGACATAGGGACACACTCGTTGAAATAATAGTAAGAAGAATACATTAAGGTGAACAAAAAGCAGAAGAACAATAGTAGCACTGGTAATAGTATTTGTAGTAATCATATTAACAAGAACAACAATAATATGCTCAGGCTTCGCGGGGAAATATTAGGTGAATCAGACCGTGCTCTGGCAGGGGGGAGCATTTTGGCTGAATCGGGGTGTATGACAGCAAGGCTAGTGCCATAAACCTATACACTTTGCCAAAACCTCCTGTGATACAAACAATTGAGCTGAGGCATTCTGGAGCCCGCCAGTCGCATCAGACTTGCAAGGTCCCTGGGCGAGTTTATATCGGACACTGCAGCTTTTATTTTTCAGTTTGCTCGCTTTGGCTGCAGCTGCTTGGTTGTGCTAGATTCAGCTGGCTTTGCTGCCTCATCCTCCCCCGCTCAAGAATGGCCTCAAAATGGCGCTTGACGAAGAAAGAGGAGAAGGAGGTGGAGACGTTCGCAGCTGCAGCAAAGCAGCGAGTGTTGGACGAAGGCGGAACCAATGCCGAGGCCAAGAATTCCTTTGAAGATGCGAGAGCCCAGAAGACCAAGGAGTTGAAAGAAGCGAAGGCCAGTGCATCGGCTGCGAAGAAAGCGGCTGCGGAGAAGTCGGGGAAGTCGACCCCGCCGTCAATTGCAGGCCCACCTGCAGGCCCGCCAGCAGTTGCGGCTTTGCGCGGCGTGGCTGCGCATGCTGGCGTGAACCAGCCCTACTATGAAGCGATCCTTGGCGCGTGCCAGACAGTTCTGAGTCACCCGACATTTGGTCTGATAGCCTCAGAGGGCCCACGGGACATCACAGGAGACCTCGCCAAAGACTCTGGATGTCAGGACGTATGGACACCTGACAAATGCAGAACAGCATGCGGAAGAGAGGGATGCTACCGAGCAGCCATCAATTTCTGGTGGCTCGACTTCCTCGCCAACCCGACGCCGTCAGTACCCCTGTCATTGGAAAGAGCCAGGAAATGGGCTGAAGTGTACTTCAAGCAGGGCCCAAGGCATCTCAAAGAGCCAGTGGAGATCGCCATTGACCATGCGGACTACGCCCTGGACACCTGCAAGGGCAAGTGGGTCATGGTGTCGCCGCCTGAGGTAGTTCATGGCATACTCCTCATGTTGGCGGATAGGGTCAACAAGGCCCAGGATCCGGAGTTGCTTCAGTGGAAGGGTGTGCTGCTGAGCACTCCGGCCGTCGTCACGGTCTACACAGGGTCTGAGGAAAGATATTGGGCGTCGTATGACGCCAGACAGGTCGTGTGCCAGACCGCAGACTCTTGCAAGAGAACGGCCCGACAGACTGCCTACGAGATCGTCTACTTCAGGGACAACATTGTGTCCCTGCCCGACATCAGTATCCCCGAGCTACAGGAGCTGTACTGCACGAAGGGCAATGCAGAATCAACCACGAGAGAATTTTCAGATAACTTCGTCAAAGACTCCTTGACCATACATGACAAGATCTTGGTGGACGACCAGTGCTCCGCCGTGCTCGACCTGCTGGAGTCCAAGTACGGGAGTTTGGATAATTGCCTGAACTCGACAACGAAGCTGAAAATAGTCGTGGACCGCACCGACGGCTGGGAGGTGAGACGTTGGGTGCTGAATGGCATCGCGGATGCCTTGCAGGCAAACATGCTCCAGAACGATCAGCTCGGAAAGACTTGGTTCACTGGTGGCTCCAATTCCGTGAGCGGCATTGACCTGATCAAGTTTCGCAAGCTTGTGTTGGAGATGTTGCTCAGGCAGGAGCTGCCAAAGCGAGGATTTGAGTTGAAGGACTTGCAGCTGATTGGCGAGAAGATTCTATGTCATGCCGCCTCTCGCCTTGAATAGGGGTGGTGTGCATGAGTGTATCAGTGTATCTTTGTTTCTTTCTTTCAGTCTCTCTCTCGCTCTCTCTCTGTCTCTCTCCCCCTCTCTCTTTCTTTATTTCTTTCTTTCTTTATTTCTTTCTCTCTCTCTCTCTCTCTCTCTCTGTTTCTCTGTGTCCCTTTATCTTTTTGTCCGCCTGCATGTCACTCTGCTTCACTGACTCACTCTCTCTCTCTCTCTCTCACGCTCTTTTCTTCTCTCGCACACTATCCCTATATAGTTGAAAACAGTAAAGCGATCGACCTTGGTAATCATCATGCCATGACAAGATGCAACCATGACATGTCAACTTCGGTGCGTAAGGACTACCGGAAGTACGTGTCTGCGCTCCCAGACGGCGCCAGCCCTGAAACGCAGTGGCAGGCGACACTCAAAAAGTCGTCCCAAACGTGCTTGAAGTTGCTGGAGGACTGCGAGCCGGTAGCGTGATCATTCATTTTCATGCCTGCTGATGACAGCGTCAGCACCTGTTGCAGTTGAGGACTTGGGTTATGGCAGTGCCCTGAACGGCTCCTTGGTTGCGGTGCTCAGGAAGGGCAAAGGCGTCAGTCCCATGGAGCTTCTGGATATCGAGGCTATCAGCACGAGGCTGGACAACGCAAAGCAACAGCTCGACGATGAGATCTGCGCGGAGAAGGCACTCCTTGGCGGCACTGTCGTGGACGAGCCAGAAACCACTGAAGTCGAGAAACTCAGCCGTGGCTCGATTCCTGCCGAGCCTAGCAGATACCAACGCGGGTCCGCGGAGCACTTTACCGCAACTGCATGCCAAATGTTCAATGTGTATTGCAGCTTGTATGCCGAACCAGACACCCAAGCCGGGGTCGCTGCACTGGTGTCGCAAAGCTCGCTGTCGGGGAGCAGCGCCACAGGTGTGCCAGGAAAGAGCCTGGTGATGATTCACCTGGATGCAGCTCTCGTCGGCGAGAGCCGCAGCCGCCCGTGGCAGAGACAGCCAGCAGTGGCACCCGCACTCGTCAGCAAGCTCATCCACGGCGCTCTCGTCGGCCGCGGAGCCCAGCCGGTGAAGAGTGCTACGGAGCCCGACATGCCAATCGGTGGAGATGCTGTCTTCCTCTGCGACAGCGGCCGGCCCGAGGTCGAGGCAGCGCTGCTGGGACCCTTCAGTCAGAACTCCGCCCGTGGTAACTTGTCCTCGTACCTGGAGCACACCCGCATCACAATGTGCATCTCGCAGCAAGCCTTGACCGAGAAGAAGAAGGTGGCTCGCGGTATGCTCAACCAGGTCATGACACTCCATGTCATTGGCAACGATCCCTGGGCCAAAATGGTTCCCGAACGCAAGCATACCAAGTATCCGGGCACAAACCGGGGAAACGTCCTGGGTTGGGTGGGCCAGCCGACATCGGCCGATACCTGGATGTCCTCCTACGAGAACAAGAAGGTTGTGTATGGGGGCAAGATCTTCGGCACGGTGGAGTCCAACCAGGAGGAGGAAGAGCGGAAGAAGAGCACAGAGCAGGAACCTGTGTTCTTTCACTTTCTCCCCCAAAGCCTGTACGATAACAATTTGAGCTCGTATTCTGTGGTTGCAGTGCTGGACCTCACTGCAGGTCAAGGGGAACTGTGCAAAGCGGCGCTGGAGAAGCGCGTGCCGTATGTTGGATTGTGCTTAACTGAGCAGCACGCAGTGCAGCTCAAGGCTGAGCTCATCAGCTGGTTGAAAGGACGCATGTGCACCGAAGGCTCGACGTACTACAGTCCCGAGTGGACCAGAGCCGCCGGTGCAGACCTGGCAGAGCAGACCAAGACTCAGCCAAAGGCCAAGGCCACAAGGACGAAACCGAAGAAGCCCACCCAGCAGACCATCGAGGCGGAGGACGACACGGAGGAAGAAGAAGAAGAGGAGGCTGAGCCGGAGCCGACTCGCAAGAAGCAGAAGAAGACGGACAGCAAGGCTAAGTCCAAGTCGACCAAGCGAAAGCTCGTCCCCTCTGACGAGGACGACTGAAGCAGATGTTTGGGCATCAGTCCGAGGAAGGATTGCCTCAGTGCCACCTCCATAATCTAGCTAGTTGCTTCAGCGAGACCTGGAAAATCTAGCTACTCAGTCGTTCATTACATCGGCAGTGCAGTTTTTTAACATTCCCGGAGCATCCTTCCATGACTGTTGCAGTAGGGCCTGATGGCACATGTCGATTCGAATTTTTAGCGCTGGCTCCGAGGGAATTCAGGTGTCTACCAGCCTTTACCAGCCTTCTGTTTACGTGCAGTACTTGTGGCTGTGGTGGAGAGGTCCAGCGCGTTTTGCATTTCGGAGACGACACATGAAACTGTTGCGCTTTCCCGCCAGATATTGGGAAAGTAAACGACCAGTCTGTTTTCCATCAGTCAGTTGGCCTGCCCAACTGTGCTGTTCCGACACGTACACTTCAAGCCGAGTCCCAATCTGTGAGAAAGAGCAGATGTTGAGGTGGAGCTATAGCTCTTTGCAAGCGCTGGATCGCCCGGCAGGTCAACAGGGCAAGCAGTGTAGATTTTGGCTCGGGCCTTAATGATTTGATTGGAACAGTGTATGGCCTAGTGTAGAGCTTTCCTTGCGGAAAGCAGCAGCCTTGCCTTCAACCCGGCCCCATGGATGTCGAGTTCTTTGACGACGACGCTGCTCCACGACATAGTCAGAGGAAGCCGGAGAAGAAGACGGTTCCGACGTGCACTGCAGTGAAAAGTTTGCCTTGAGCATGCTGGACAAAAGCCCCTGCATCACCAGGTGCCGGGGAGGCCTGGGTGGCTTCTACCTTGTCGGTGACGGCGTGGAACGAATGATGTCCCTGGAGGAGATTGCGGCTTTGCAAGGATGGCCGAGGGCCTGGACTCGGGCCATGCTTCAGAAGCAGGACTTGCTAGGGAAGCTAAGTGCCATTTACACCTAAACTTTTCTGGCTGCTGTTTAAGGGGTGGCTTTTGCGGCTTTTGTTGTTGGTCTTTTCATGGAGCCGAGAGTTTAAGAAGATTTGGTAACACCAACAAGACCCGAAGCCAGGAGCCGAGAATGTGGAATGAGTCCCAGCCCTTTGCGGTCATAGTCATAAGATCTCAGCCGTCATTGCCCACTGCATTGGCCGTCATGGTCATGGACAGAAACTGTGCGCCATGAAGCCACACATGTTCTGACTGTCAGCATGTTGCGCTCGTCATCTGAAGCTAATTCATTGCAATGAAACCGTAGCCTAGTTTATGTCGTTGAACCCCAATGCGCCAGGACTCCCGGGCAAAGCTGGGACGAGCGCTCGGGGACGGGATGTCTCTGAGCGTGTTGCACCGCATTCTTTCCAGAGCTTTGTGGTGCGCCGGCATGCTTGACCGTTTGCCTCCTGAGCCATGGGCGAGCATTCCAGAAGCAGGCCTGCTGCCGGATGCGTTCTTTTAACTTGGCAGTAGTCTCCGAGACTGGCAGCAGCAGCAGCAATAGTAGTAGTAGTAGTAGTAGTAGTAGTAGTAGTAGTAGTAGTAGTAGTAGTAGTAGTAGTAGTAGTAGTAGTAGTAGTAGTAGTGGTCGTCGTCCCCGAGAACGGCAGCCAGCTAGCTGGCAGCCAAGGGTATGTGTCTGTTTGTGCGCACTCGTGGGTGGGTGGGTGGGTGTGGGTGTGGGTGTGGGTGCGGGTGTGGGTGACGGTGACGGTGACGGGGACGGTGACGGTGAGGGCGAGGGGGTGGCGGTGGCGGTGGCGGTGGGGATGGGTATGTATGTGTGTGTGTGTGGGGATGGGTATGTGTGTGTGTGTGTGTGTGTGTGTGTGTGTGTCTGTGTGGTCGTGTGTGTGTGTGTGTGTGTGTCTGTGTGTCTGTCTGTGTCGGTGAGTGGTTGTGTCAGTCAGTCAGTCAGTTAGGCAGGCAGGCATGATCGTTCATACCTCTCAACTGCGTCCGGTAGCAGTGCGAGCTACCTGACCACTGCGTTAGAGATTCTTTCAATGGCCTCTCGTGCTTCGGCCGATGAATCCATCGGGCATTTTGGGCCTCAGAGCTGGATGGAAGTGTTAGGTCTGCGGGTTAAAAAAAGCCGGGTGCTCCGATGAATGTTCCGATGCCTGCCTGTGAGTGCACTGACTGTAGTGAGTTTACTTGCCTAGTCTAATTCAGTGTGACAGCGGTCTGTGCTGGAGGGGCTGCTGGTTTCGGGTTGGCCAGGCCTGAGAGACGTTGTCGTCGTTGCATCCGCGCCCGGTGCCACGTCTCCACTTGCCTCATCAGAGCGGCTTTGGTTTCAGTTGGTTCTTGGCCGTGCAACTTTCGGTATGGTCTTGTGATCAAGGTCGCTTCCTCGATCTACCTTGACGGCTCCCTGTCAGTCTTTGGATCTCATTGTCTCTGGTGAGGCTCGGATCTTGCAGGTAGCCCCTTCGAGCTGCAAACCCCAAACCCTAAACACGTAGCACAACGAACAGTACACAGACTGAAGCCCCGAAGTAGTAATCAAAGATAATCTCATCACATTTGTCGAGAAGAAGGCTACGTCAACGCCTTGCTCCGACAAGATTGTACACCGTATACGCCGTATACCCACAAACGCTACATCCCTATAATGACATAAATACCTGACAAATGTGGGATCTGGGCAAATCAGCTACATATGCATGACCGACATGCCCGAACAGAATGCCCGCCTTCGAGACGTCGACTCAGATTTGTCAGCGCCCCCCTAGGAGCTGCAAACCCTAAACTTTAAACACATAGCACAACGAACAATACACGGACCGAAGCCCCCAAGGCCCCAAGTATTCAAGTTAAAACTGTCACATTTGCCGAGAAGAAGGTCCGACAAGCTTGTAAGCCCAGAAACTTTATATCCCTAAATTGCGTAAATATGTGACAAATGTGGTATGTGGGCAATCAGCTACCTACGCATGACTGACATGCCCGGAAAGATTGCCCGCCTTGAAGAGGTTGACTGAGATTTGTCGGCGCCGTTGACCTGATTGAGATACAAGATGCCAATCTCTTGGTTAGTGAAGACGTGGCGATATCAAACAGATGTGTTGGGAGCCCGAAGATTTTGCAGAGAAGCTGGTGCACAGTGGGGAATGTAAGTGTGGGAATCGAAAATATATCCACACTGCAGGCACAACTGACTCTTGTGTTGGACGCACTCGGCAGTCGCTCGAAGAATCCAAATACAGTCGCGACGACTCAATCGCGTGTGGCTTCAAGGGGATTTTTTTGCTTCCGAGACACTCAAGTGACCAGGTCAAGGCTAAGAGGGTGACACAGAACAACGCAGCTCCAGCGAGCACTTCACGGGTTCAGGGGCTGTTTACCTCCACAATATCTGCAGAATTGCCATGAGGCATCTATGTCCTTACCGCATGCAATGCAGTAGACGGCTGCAGCCGTGGACGGAGCAGCGGCAGCAACGATGGCTTTGGGACCAGGCTCGGGCTTCTGTGACGCAGAAACCACAATGCCAGAAACCACAGGTTGCAACGTGGCTTCCAAAGCGCTGCGCTGCCGCTTCTGTGTTGCAACATCGTAGATTGTGTCCAACACTCTCTCCGAGGTCCCCGTAATGGCACTCACAATTGCTGTGCTGAATCCCGCCGTCTTAAGCAGGGTCACCGCTGATTTTTTGCAACTGTGCGTGGTGACCCGCCGGACAGAAATATCCTGAAACGGATGTGGCTTTTGCTGAAGCTTGGATTCCTTGAGCTCTTGCAGAATGACTTGTTGAGCTTCTAGGAATTTTCCATAGAATCCTCTTGAAGTCACATGTTTTGCAAAGGCTCGTTTGTTCGTTCCTCCTAGTTGTCGTCCAGGAAAGAAGAAATTTTCACCAGATTGCTTCGTTTTCGCCCGAAGCCTGCCGAAAAGCTGTTGGCCGGGATGCGGCCACTGTGACCGATTCGCCTCGCCGTCGCGACCACCCACCAGAGGCTCTTCTGTACACCACTTCCACAGCAGCGCGCCGAAGGGAAACTGTACCTCCCTGTGTGTGGTTTTCTTGTTCACTGCTGGAATCGTTACCTGAGGCAAAACCCCCGAGTCGGGGTTTAACCCTGTAAACCACGAGTCCTTGATGTTGCAAAGTAGTTCGCAACGTTCACCCAGCATGACGCCGATCAGGAATTGCACTGCAGCCCACGCGCAGTTCAGCTTGTGCAAGAATACGAAAAACAAGTGAACTATTTGATCCACTGATAAAGCTTCTCGTCCTCCACGTTTTGGCTTCATCTTGCATTTTTCCATGTGTTCAAGCGAGCAGAATCGAGCCACTCGTGCCTGGGACTGAAGTTTGCGGAGCACACTAGGGTTGGCGAGGTCGATGTCTAGCACGTGGGGTTTGTTTTTGCAATCGACACCTTTGGCGTTGCATGCTTTGTACCCGCAACGCATCTTGAGGCAGCTCCCCTTCTTTCGGCGAGGTCCCCGTGATGGTTGCTTTGCCATGGTCCCCTCACAATTGTTCGGAGACGTGAGACAAGGGCTGTGTATCTGCCGAGCTCACACGGCTTCCAAAGTCCCAAATACGATACAAGACTGAACCAGATCAAACCAGACTTGCTGGGTGCACTGTCAAGACTCTCTGGTTTCAGTGTTCTTAGACAACTCTTATTTTGGCACTTCCTAAATCCGGCTAGTTTCGGAAGTGGCACTTCCAAAGTCTGGTTTCTACAATCAAATCTAGTTAGCAGCAGCAGCAGCAACAGTAGCAGTAATACCAGTCTCCGAGTGGTAGTGGTGGCAACAGCACAGCTGCAGCAGCAGTAGCAGTAAAGCAGCAGTAGCAGTAATAGCAGTCTCCGAGTAGTAGTGGTGGTAATAGTAGTCGTGGTCGTGGTGGTGGTGGCAGGTAGCAGTAGTAGTTGTAGGCAGCCAGCTAGCTGGCAGCCGAGCTTGGGTGCGGTAGTAGTGGTAGGGTGGTCGTGTTGGTGGTGGTAGCAGTAGTACTTGTAGGCAGCCAGCTAGCTGGCAGCCGTTGTTGTTAGTAGTAACAGTAGTAGTGGTAGTAGTAGTAGTTTAGTATAGTTTAGTGGTAGTAGTGGTAGTAGTGGTAGTAGTAGTAGTAGTAGTAGTAGTAGTAATAGTACCAGCACTAGTACCAGTACTAGTACTAGCAGTAGCAGCAATAATCTAGCAGTACAGCCAGCCAGCCAAAGGATGCTGGGTGCTGGGCGCTCGCGTCCTCCAGGGTCTTGTCACCATACCTGCGTTCCCGAAGAGGGGCTTCAAACAATAAGCCTACTAAGTATTATATCCGATTATGTAATGGTTAGCATCCCTTCGGAAGCACAGCTAAGAAAGGACCAGATTTAGGGCTTAGGGTTTAAAGCTCCACAAAACCCATTATGTCGACGATATGTTCCCTATAGCCCCCCTTCGGGAGCACAGCTATGGAAGAAAGTACTAAATCCAAGGCTCGGGTTAGGGCTTTTGGGGTTTAACTGTAATTATTTAGGGTTTAGGGTTTACAGCCCCACAAAATTTATTATGTCCGACTATATATTCCCTTGCACCTCTTCGGGAGCACAGCTACGTAAGAAAGGATTAAATTTAGGGTTCCAGGCTGAGAGTTTAGGCTCTAGGGCTTGAGGTCTAGGTTTAAGGGCACCCCTTCGGGAGCACAGCTAAGGATGAAAACGCCGTGCAAATTAAGCCCATTGGCTGTGGCCCGGTCTGCACCTGCGAAGTCCGCCCCGGTCGGTCCCCGGCGGCCGATGCTGCTTTTGCAGAGGATCAAGGTTAAGGTTCAGGCCCAAATTTTTGAGATTTCGGAATAATAGGTTTTCCCAGCCCTATACATCCTACAACGCACTCTCAGTCTCTGCAAGGTGACCAAGTTTCAGGGCGAGCACAGCGCAAGCTCAAAATCAAGCCCTTTCGGACCGGACCCCGTGCATGTTTGTATATACGTACATATATACCACAAAGACACAAAGATAACAAAATCTGAGAGGTCGCCCGTGGTAATCATATGATTTTCTGCGAACATCGGCCAGTCTGGATGTTTTGTGGCAATCATATGATTTTCTGCGAACATCAGCCAGTCTGGATGTTTGCAAAAGAATGGAACAAAGCTCTTCCAGACCAATACAGTGGACGCCAAAAAATTGGAACGTGCACACCCTAACATTCAGCACTCCATGAGCGAGCGCGTGCAAGTTCCAATTTCGGCATTATGTTCCAAAGTTGGAACATTCTGATTCTGACTGGACCGGCCGGAAAACCCAGTGTCTGTGGATGTCATCAAGGTTGGCCATGGATGATATGGACATCATTATGCTTGGAGGGTGGGGGGGCACCCTGTGGAGGGGAAACAACCTAACCTAGCACTATCCTAAACCCTAAGCCCAGCTTCCCCTGGTTGGGGGACCCCAAAAAAATATACAGTAAATGCTGGGCCCTAAACCCTACGTGCCCGCTTTCCCCTAAAACTTGGGGGGCTAGGCACCCTAAACCCTATGCCCGGTTTCCCCTAAAATATAGGGACCTAGGCAGATGTGTCCTAAACCACCCTGAAAAACCCTGAAACGAAACCACCCCCACACGCAAACCGCAACCCTAGGAACCGGGGGGGCGGGGGGCGGGTTGGGAGGGAGGGTTTGAGGCAACACCAACCATGTTCCAACTTTAGCCTCCAAGATCAAAGTCGGAACCTGTGGCTTGGGGCCAATTTGCTCCAGTGGACACGTTCCAACCTCCCGGCTTCCACCATAAATACATAATACAATATAACAACATCATTTGACAAGCCAGTGACGACCAATGTTACATTCACACATTTTTTGCGAACATCAGTCAGTGGCACTCACCAAAAGAAAAAAGCAACAGCAGCAACAGCTATACATCAGCAGGTCTTTCTGCGTGCCCCCTGGGCTCGCCGCGCTTTGTCGTACCGGGGGGGGGGAGGAGGATTTTGCTTCCAAAATGCAAAGGCTGAAGAGCGTGCTTGATAACCCTGCGGGGGAGGCTGAGCGAAAAAGCCAAGAGGCCGACCTCTCCGAGTCTCCGAGGGAACAGGTGACTCCGTCAGGTGCGGAAAGCTGTTCGCTGACTCTGGCCCGCTCTTGGGGCCTCCGCCGTCCTGGCTGCCCAAGAGTCTCTCCAAAGAAGCAGAGGAGGCGGCTGAGCCCTACCTGCGGAAGGTGCACCAGGTCGAGTATATACTCTTTGGAGGCTTGGAATGGTGCCGTGCAGGCTGGCACGACCCTCCTCAGGCTTTGTGGAGGATGGAAGGAGGCTGTGGGAGCGCTGCGCTACGCGTGGAGGACTCGGGGAGAAGATCACTTCGCAGAGCTTTTCGATCACCACCTCGATAGTCACCTTCCGGAGGATCTCCTTGCGTGGGTTAGAAGAGTTGCCCAGGAAGGGGTAAAGGCCGAGTACCGGGGCACGCAGCGTGCCCGGGTTAAAGCCACCCCGCATCCCTCTCTTAAGGATCATGTGGAAGAAGCTCGGCAACTAATCTGGCAGGACGCCACGCGAGGACGAGTGCTCTTGATGAGCCCCGGCCCCGATGAAGAGGACCTGTTAGATGGGGTGGTATCTGTACCATTGGCAAGAGTGCCGAAGTACAACCCAGACAGGTCAGTCTCCTCCAAAGGGAGAGTAATATGGGACGCCAGAGTCGTTAATGAGCTTTGCCATAAGGACGACCATTTTCCAGCCATCCAACCAAGATACGCTGAGGTAGTAAGGCTGGTGATGTGGTACAAGAGCCGGTACCCCGGCGTCCGCGTCTTATTGGCAAAGAAAGACGTCTCAGAAGCCTTTAAGTGGCTTTGGGTCGAGCAGGACGACTGCAGGCTTTTCGGAGCGGATCTTCCCACTGAAGGGGCTACCCGGGACAGCCGTGGCGACGCTTCGCGCCCGGTTACGGTTTTGTACCTCGCAATGACGTTTGGATGGACGGGGGCCCCAGGAGAGTTCATGGCTTTCGCATGGGCAATCAAGTTGCTGCACAGAGCATGCGGGCCCGACCGGCCCGAGTGGCACGACTCGTCCTCCTTCCGGTCGCTCGCTTTAATGGACGACTCGGTTGTGATCGAGCCCGACTTGGGCCTACGCCCTCAGCTGTCGGTCGACGCTCTGGAAGAAGCGATCCGACAGACTCTGGGGCCACTCGCCATCAACGCAGCCAAAGACGTCGAGGAGGGTACCCTCACCACGAGAAAATTGATTTGGGGCCTAGAGTTCGATACAGAAGCCGGAACCTGTCGGCTCCCACCTCTCAAGGTCGAACGAGCCTACCACGTCCTCCAGTCCCGGTACTTCGACGCCGGCCAGACCAAGGTACCGCTCAAAGAAGTCCAGGTGTTGCGGGGCTCTCAACAGTTCTGGCTAGGGGTCCTCCCGCAACTCGCCCCTTACCTCCAGAGCACTAATGCGCTTTTGGGACCCGCTGACCGAGAAGGCCACGTCGTCCTACGCGGGAATGAGGCGGAACAGTCCGCACAGTGGGAAGCATTCTGGAGCGCCATCGAGCTGCAAAGGCTGCTGGTTGGTTCGCGGCAATTTTGGGAGGCGCGATTCGTCTCACAGCTCGAGCACGCCCTCACCACGCCTGAACTCTTGGCCCTACCAGAGGTCAAGCGCAACCTGGTCTGGGTGTCAGCTGACGCCACGCCCACCCGGCTGGGAGCGATCGACTGGACCGCAAGGGTCGCGGTAGCTTGCGCCGCAGCTCCCCTCTTATCGCCCCCTTGAGGCCAACGCCCAGGATTCCACCGACCTCGAGGCTCGTACCGAGCCCGAGGAGGACTTGGTGCAAATAGGCGTCGCGGAATTGCTGGCCTTGCTCGTGTTATAGTAGTCGCCAGAAAGGAAGCCTGGGCAGGCAGCGTGGTTCTGTACTTGGGAGACAACACCAATGTGCAAGATTGGTTGCGCAAGCGACAAGCCGGGAATGCGCAAGCCAACCACCTCCTGAAAGTCTTGGGAGCGTTAGAGGGGGTCCATGGCCTACAAGTGAGGGGGGCATACCTTCGCACTTATCACAACCAAACCGCCGACGACCTGACCCGGCTTGACCCCGACAAAGTCATGGAGCAACAGAGGCTGACTCGCCTCAGTGTTCCAGACGATTGGGGCCGAGTGCTGGAAGAAGCTTGGCACCGCAGAGCCCTCTTGTGGGTGGGCCAACCAGACTCCGATCGGCAGACCTGCAGCTCGCCGCAAGGAGGATTGGACCGGCCCCTCCACGGGCCATGCCAGCGTTCGGTTGGAAGGTGCACGAGCTCGGTGCTTCGGAGCACGGCGTGTACACCCGGGCTTTCTTCGCCGCTGGAGGCTTGAAGCACGACCCCCAAGACTCTTCAGCCACTTTGGAAGGGGCACCCACCGTGGAGCGTTCCGCTCCCGGTGAGGAGGAAACCCCGACGCAGGAAGAACGTCTGCTTTGCGTCGCGAAGCGGAGGCGCGACGGGTCGTGTCTGGCGTGCCCGCGCAGGCCGCGAGCATTTGGATAGACTCTTTTCGCCCACTCGCGGTCGAAGCGATTTGCACAGAAGATGCCCAGAACCGCTGGGAGTGGTGGACGGAGGAGTTCACCGGCCGCACCTTTAAAGAACAGGTGTGGTGGCACCGCTGGGTGCTAGTCGGTGTAAACCCCGGCGCAGGACAGGAAGCACGCGCTGCGACAGGTGAAAAAAGGGCTCTCGAGCCCTGCACGCCACCCCTGCACACGTACGCCACCCACTGGTTGGACCCCAAACCCAAGGCTGGCTGGGTTGAAGGGACAGTGCACCTTGACCCCACTTTCCCATTCCTTGGGTTGAAGTCCCCCAAACCCTGTGGGACGGTTCGTACCCAGCGGGGGTCGCGCGCTCTTGTTTGGGACCCCGCCAAGCCCATGCCCCCCCTGCACGATGGCTCCTGGGACCCCTGTCGAAGGGATGCGCTGCACTTGTTGAGCCATGGGGAACAAGGGGTACAGGTTAGGGTGATCGGGGCCCGAGAGGTCCATAAGCTTCTCGGGGGAAGGGGCTGGGACGCCACAGATGACGATGAGAGCGATGCACGTCTTGCCCTGCATGCCCCACCCTACGCCCTCGCAGCTTTTGCTGCTGAGTTTGTAGGCTCCCTCCCCCCTGACACGTCGTCCGACCGCAGCCGTTTCAGCTCTGAAGGGGGCGGTGCGCTCCCTAGCGAAGGCAAGGCAGGAGCTTGTGAGCTCCCGTGGGAAGACGACGCAGAGGCCCTGGTACGCCTGTGGCTCGGAGGAAAACTCGAGGGTAGGTCCGAGACCCGCTGCTCCGGCATGGGCGGCAAAGGCAACCAGAAGGGAAAAGGAGCCCATAACGGGCGCAGGGACCAGGAGAAGCTGGAGCGTCTCCGTGGCTCGTTCCGAGCCCGGAGTGACGCTGACCGGCGAAGGCTGGTCAAGATCCTCAGACACGAGGCCGCCCTCCTGGGTCTTCCGCGATCCGCGAAGACGGATGGGTCTCGTTGAAGGACCTCAACGAGTGCGTCGGAACCATATCCGGCGAAGATGCCGCCCGAATCATTGGGCGAGACGAGAAAGATAGGCTAATTCTTTCTCAAGAGGGCGAAGAAGTGTGGGTGGCGGCCGTGTCAGGTCACACCATAGCAGGGGTTGTGGGGCCTGGCAGAGAGCTGCCCCTACAGGAGGTTCCAGAGGTGCTTGTGCACGGCTCCTACGCGCGGCACAGCAACAACATCCTCAAGGAAGGATTGCACGCGCGTAGAGCGATCCACCTCCTCTCCTGTGGGTCCAAACACGGCAGGTGGAGATCGGACATCGAAACCTCCGTGTTTGTTCTCGCCAGAGAAGCCGCTCGGTACGCCCAGGTTCGGTTCCTACTTACTACCAATGACATTTACCTGGCACCGGACGGAATACCCCCTGAGTATATCTCGCAGATCGAGTCCTGGCGGAAAGGACCGGTTCCCTTCCCACCGCGAGCAGCGGGGTCTTCCGTGGGGCGTTCCGCTCCCGGAACGGCCGCCGGCTCGCGCCGGGAAGGAGCTGCGAAAACCGCGGCCGAAAAAGCCCAACAAAGGGCCGAGGCTGTGGCTGAGCACAAAGAGGCCGCACGCTTTACCGAGAGGCAAGAGGCCAGGCGTAAGTTGGCGTCGGCCGCGCCCCGGGGCACAGTGGGCGTGGTTGCAGAGAGCTCTGGACTCCGACTGTGAGTCCTGTTCGGACCGCAGGGAGCAGTCCACCCTGAGCGCAGCAGCGAGCGCGCTCTCAGAGAAGCCCAGGGGTCGGGCGAAGAGAAGAGCGAGCTTGTGGAGAACCTTACGTCCCTGGCGCAAGCGTTCTCCAAGAACCGCGACGCCTGCGCGCAAGCGGCGACCTCGAGGGCAGCCACTCTCGCGGAGCTCGAGGGCGCAGAAGCCGCCTACTTCGCGGCGCTTTCCCCGGCCCTGGCAGAACTGGAACGCAAAAACCCAGTGAGGCCCAGTATGGATAAAAGCGTCGGGTGGATCAACCACGCACGTTTCCTGCAGGACAAGGAAGCCGCCGGAGTGTGGGTGGCACGCAGAAAGGAGAAATCCCGCCTGCGAGCTGCTGCACACCGAGCGGCTCAGCAGACTGCCGAAGGCGGCGGTGCAGGGGTGCAAGACCCGGTCCGCGACCAGGCGGACGCAGCCAGCCACCTCAACTTTCAAATGAATGAGGCGGCAAGGGACAACCTGCGGCGCTTCCAGGCAGAGCTGCGAGCTGGGGAGCTATAGACGCCCCGATGCAAGCCGCGGTGGCTCAGAAGCGCAAGCCTGAGTCCGAGCGCAGGCGACGCATCAAATGGGCCAGGTTTTGCGAGAAGCAGGGTAAAACCAGGAAGTACGACCCCACTGAAAGCGAGCAGAACCACCCCTACGCTCACTCGGGTTCACCCCACTTCGAGAGCGGCCATGCCGTGGCCCGTTCCGGGCCCGGCAGGTGCCCGACGGAGGACGGGCTGGAGAACCGGAGGATTCCTGGCACTATGGGGGATGGTCGCTACCTACAGCATACAGCCAGCGAATGCACTGCCGGGGAATAAAGCCCCGTGGCCTGCTTCAGGCCCGGGCATGGCCGGAAGGGACCGGACTGGGGCTTGGGATGATGCTAGGTTGGATGCTCGGTAGAGGGCGTCAGAACCGGAGAGGAAGAACCGGCGGCCCCAAGCTCGCCCAGCCAGCCGACAGTAAAGCTCCCCCTCCCACTCGACCGTGGATAGCTCGACCCTTGCCGAGTGACGAAACCCGTCGGAGAGTCGTCACGCGAGCTCTCTGGCTGACCACTGCGCTCTGCTTCCCATCGTTGCAAATGCTGCCGAAGGGGACACTGTGGAAAGAAGGGGGAGTCTGGGAGCTATGGACGTACAGGCTCCTGACCACCGGCTGCCTCTACCTTGCCTGGCGCACAACCTTAGGCTGGGGCGTTGAGAAGAAAGAGGTCGCCTGCCAAACCACCCAAGGACACCCGCCCGCGGCCGACCACGTCCGTGTAACGCCCGCCGGCGAATGCTTCCATGCGGAGCATTGCGGACACTTGAGGGCGAGGAAGAGCCGGGCATACAGGCCCTGTCTGGATTGTTCCCCGCTTGAGCCCCGTGTGACTCGACTGCCAACGTCGGGGAGCACACCCGCGGCCAGACGCCAGGGGTCCAACTATACAGGGTTCCTTCGGGTGATCCTTGGTAGCCTCGCCGTCCTCGCTTTGCTCGTGCTACAGGGGTGCGACCGACAAGCAGAGGAAACCGGTCGACTTGGCAACCCTGCGGTACCACCACTGTTGGGAGCTTCTGCTCTTGTTGCGTTGCTCATCACCTGGCCGGGTCCGCCGTGGTGCGCTCCGCGCCCGGCGTCCCGAAGGGTGGGGGAAGGAACGCGCAAGGTCAGGTTTGCGGTACGAGAGACGCGCCGGGAAACCCGGAGAGAACTCTTGCCCGCCCAGACCTCGAGCTTAACGACCCGACATCATCGGCGTCGAGGCAGCCACCCCCTCGTTGCCCCGAGCGGGAAATCCCCCGCAGAAACGAAGCGGAAATTCTCAGAAGAGGGGCCGGAACCAGGGGTAGTCCCCGCCCGTCGCTGGGCGCAAGAAAGACTGCAGTTGGTGAAGGACCACCTATCACCATCCACCCAGCGGTTGTATGACGGCCATTGGCGCTGGTGGGAGCTATACACTAGACGTCGGGGCGTTTCAGCACTCCGCTCCGTGGATCGTTTCGATCCCGGAGAAGAGTCGTTGTTCCTCGACTATCTGGTGTACCTATTTGTGGGCCAAGGGCTAGCAGCCACAGCACAGGCCCGCCTGGGAGCGATTCGAAGCGTACACCTACAGCTCGGCTTCCCAGACCCGCTGAAGCCGCTTCCTCGTTTGCAACTTGCACTCGAGGGAATCAGGAGGAGAAAAGGACCCATCGCCAAACGACGTCCGGTTACTCCGCACATGTTAGCAAGGGCCCAAGCGGCGTTGCCACGGGGGCTGTGGGGAAGACAGCTCAACTGTGCATTGCAACTCGGTTTCTTTTTTCTCTTACGAGTTTCGGAACTGGTCGGCGGCAATAACCCAAAGCTTGGGCTCCGTGTCAAAGATGTCAAGCTGCACAGCCGTGGCGAGTTCCTCGCCCGGCCGCCCTTCAGCGGGGCAGATGAGGTGCAGATCGTTGTGAGAGCCTCAAAGACGGATCCCGAAGGGGAATCCGCCACGAGGAACTTATTTCGCAGCGATGCGGCCGTCTGCCCTGTGTTGGCGACCATAGAGTTTCTGGAACTCAAATGGTCAGAAGCCACGCCGCATCCGGAGGAAAGATTCTTCGGAGAACTTACAAGGCAGGACATCCAGACGGCACTGCAAACTGTCGCTGCCTCCTTGGGAGAGGAGGCACAAGCATACACCCCCCACTCTCTCAGATTTGGGGGAGCTTCTGCAATGTGGGCAGGGGGGATGGACTCTTATGTCCTCCGAACCTGGGGCCGGTGGAACTCGGACGCATTTTTAGCCTACCTTTGGACGTCTAGGAAGGCGTCCGCCAACACCGCTGCCTGCATGGCCCGCGCAGACATGACGCCGGTCAAAGGGTTCCCAAATAAGTGAACCGCCATCCCCCCTTCGTGTGGCCCTTGTCGTGTCGCGCTTCGCGACCGACAACCCCTTTGTGTGGAGGGGCACACACTCCTTTTTTGGTACAAAGGGGGGAAGGTTGCACAAACGTGCAAAAGACCAAGGACTTCGTGCTTCGCGCGCAAAAAGAGTTCTGAGCCGAAGTGAGTGTGAAACGTGGTAGCTTAGCGCTGCGTGCGTAGTGTTTCACCTCCGTAGGCTCTCGGCTCAAGGGTGACCCACACACCCACCCCCTGCACAAACGTGCAAAAGACCAAGGACTTCGTGCTTCGCGCGCAAAAAGAGTTCTGAGCCGAAGTGAGTGTGAAACAGTATTTTATGGGGATACCCCTACTTTGTTGGGCTTCCTTCTAAGGGGTTTATATGGGATATCTCTATCTTCATTTTTGCTTATGTGCTTTTTTGGGCCCTACCCACCCTCGCCTTACCTTTGGTTAGTAGGGAATGGAGGAATGAGGTACAACTATACCTACTAGTACTACCATTCTCCCATTCTTTACTAACCACAAGTAAGCAAACCCTAAAGCCTATAGATTTCTTAAAGGAACCCTTAAGATCCCCTCGGGCCCTGTAGAACCAGAAACCCAAGGAAGCTGTCTGCATCACCGCTGCGACACTGCAGCCCGCCGAGATGCAGATGAAGTTTGGCTCCTCGAGCTTGGACATCTACGATTTCGTGTTTAGGGGTTTAGGGTTTAGGGGTTTAGGGGCTCACTGTAGGGTTTAGAGTTTGGAGCTTTGGGGGGATTTTAGGGGTTTGGGGGCAGGAATCCAATAAACAACGGGCACTACGTACTGCATGGCTCCGGCTCCAGGGGCTTGGAGGCGCTTAGCTTGGGATCCTTTGTCATAGTTGGGTAACATTTTACATCTTTAAGGGCACTTAAACCCAATATAAGGAATAAAAATGCATTTTTAATCTTTTACATCTTTAAGGGTACTTAAACCCAATATAAGGGATAAAAAGTTAGATTTTTAATCCTATCCCAACCATGAACTAGGATCGAGGGATGGCAATCTTTTCGGCATCGGCTCCAGTACTATGCCGTAAGCCCTAAACCCTGAACCCTAAACCTTAATCCCTAAAGACCCTAAACCCTAAACCCAGTATGGTAATGTATTCGGGTTTACGGCATGGGCTTCGACTCCTAAGCTCCCGGTGCTCTTTCCGGACATCTGCTGCGTTGTGCTCAACCTCTTCTGTTGTATTAAATGTATATACTGGTTCAGGTACCCTTGGGGTGGAGTCGCGTTTATGGTGTGGGGCACCCAACTCAACGGAGCTTTTTAACAGGGACCCCGGAGCGCTTTTCCCCACGACCTCATAGGAGGCCAAAAGGGGTTAAATTTTAGCTTATGGGGGTTTAGTAGGGATTAGGGTTCCCATAATAGGGTTCATATTAAGGAATCCCTACCCCAAGAATCTTAAACCCTTTTGGGCCTCCCATCACGACCTGCAGCTTTGAGGTATAGCCTCTAAGCCATCTAAGTCCGATTCCCACAGCCTGAACCCTTTCGAAGCCATCCTTCAGAGTGCGTTCCACCACCCCTGGAGCCAAAAAAAGCCAAGAATCCCTGAAACTCACACTCCAAGGCTCTAAACCCCGAAGCTTTGAACGCAGTTGCAGTACGTAGAGCCTTTATCAAAACATCCCCGTGCTCTCAACTCCCAACATACCGAAGGCTTCGACATCGTCAGCGAGTATTTCGAGCAGCAGAGGTGCAGAGCAAGTCGTGCTAACTAATGGTTTAGAGCTCTTTGTTTTGCTCGGTGGCCTGTTATCTAGGGACTGGGTTGGTGCTTAAAGGATCATGGGACTTAGTAGAGTTATTATTAGGGTAACTATACTTATAACCCCAATTAGGGTACTGATTATCTTACTTACTAAGTCCCATGATCCTCCAAGCAACCTGCAATGTAACCTGTTCGGCGTTATATAATCCTACCATCTGTTAGAAGGCCAGCCTATTCTGGGCTAAATTACTCCAGCGAAAAGGTTGAAGCTTGAGATCCGTGCACTTTTTCCATAGATCTTGAAACGATAGCAACTCATTGAACCAAACGCCTAAATCCTAAACCTTTAGACAACCGCGTTCAGGGGCTTGGGGTTTGGGGCTTAGGGCTTATTTAGAGTTGGAGTATCCTAACACGCATCAAATGCCCCGAGCGATTTTTGGAACTTCCCATCTCTAAACCTACAGCCTGAATCCGAAACACAAAGCCTGGAACCCCAAACCCTTGGTCCCAAGTCTACGGCGATAGAGCCCCAATGCGCGAAAACCCATAAGCCTAATTAAACCCTGACCCCTAAACCCTGACCCCTAAACTTGTTTAAACCTCAGAGCCTGAACCCGTGACCTCCTAAAATCCCAAAGCCCAAGGGCTCCCAGAACCCTAAATTCGCCTGGTTTGGGAAGGCACTCAGACCTTCCTTCATTTGCGGAGATGACGGTGCAGAACAAGGCCCTACCTGGCCTCTTCGTGCAGTACCATTTTAGTAGGTACTTAGTAGGTGTTTGGGCCCCAAAAGTATATGTTATACTATTACTTGGACCCTCTTCGTGCACAGTTCCTTAGAGGGTTCAGGGTTTGCGGTTCTCATAGTAACGATTCGGAGTTGAA